TAAGAGAAAATAGAAAATGAAAGATGAAGAATGGTATGAAAATTCCACTACAAACATGAGAATATAAGGAATGCCCAAAATGAATTTTTGAAAGTAGATGCAGATGCGTTTGGCCCAATGTTTGCTCCAGCATTTTCATTTCCGCCTTTGACTGCCCCCCATTACTAGCTGGACGATACGGACGAAGATGTTCAATATATCCAAGGTAAGATTAATAGAGCTAGGGAAAACGAAAAAATAAGATAAAGAAAATCTTGGTTATCTTTGTTGATAAAATTAGAGGGCATTAAAATTCATCCAAACGATTGATTCAAATCACACGAACTTGGAGTTAGCTTCACCAGTAAAAAGTGTGTAAATTCCTGATCGTTATAATTGATGGATTAAAATGCATCCCCATGCATGCCTATGAGCAAATTACTAGCTCTGATCCGAAGAAATTCTTACTAACATCACCCATAAACTCGGAGTCAGCATACTAGCTCGACTGGATAAAATTAATCGGGAAAATTGCTCACCCCAACTCCTTCATGGCAGCGGACGTAATCTAGGGATGCTGATAGTGGTCCGATTAAAACTCAAATTCATTCACATGATTGAGAATAGTATAGTAGAAGTTATCGAAATGTCCACCAGAAATATGTTCTCAGATGAATCTAACCACCTAAAGCTTAAGAATACACAACAAAACAATGGATGGTTTACAGCTTACTTGTTTATTGGATCAAAATGTCTAGGCTGGATGGCCATGTGGTCGTAGGGGTAATATTGAGGATGTTGTTCTGCCCTACGGATAACTGCCTGGGTGTCGTAGAGCAGTAGGCCTGAGAAGACAGCCAAACCTCCGTATAACGCGAGAGAATGAAGCCCAAAGCCCAAGCGAGAAGCAGGCGATAGAAATATTGAGCCTTACAAAAGAAGCACGATAAATCAGACAGCGAATAAGTGATGAAATCTCAAGCAAAACCGAGATAAACCATTATAGTCGCATATTAGCACTCAGGGATATAGAAAATAATAAAATGATCATACTTTTAATAAGATAGTTACAATGAACGTCCGTCAGGTTTGGTAAGCGATAGCGATAGCCAATGCGACAGAAAAAGATGGTTAATGGTATCAGCGATACCCAAGTACAATGATTGTTGAATATCTATTCGTCATACCGAAATATGAAAATGGCATTATTATTACTTACTGTGAATGAGTTTGAATTTAGCTTAGATCCTACATCAACTAAGTCCTTGTATTGCATTTTAGAGTATCATGGCTACTGCTTGGAATAAAGTAGATTATAATAACGAATGACTCCAACTAAGAGTAAACTTAAATCTCATGAGAAGCTAAAAGTGATTAAAGGCTCACGAACAGTACGATGGCTAGCCCTGCAATCGTAGCTAAAATAGCATGATTAATAAATAGACAAATTATTTATGAACTATAGAACGAAATGAGAGAAAAATGAATATTTTGAAAAATAATAAAAGGTTCAAATACCTAATGATGAGGCAAAAACAACTCCAAGACCAATAGAAAGAGGGCCACCCCAGGACAAGAACTTGTCAGATGGAGCAGAGGCAGCTGCAACAGATAATCCTGTAACGATCGCTCCAGTGTATATTGAAGCTTGAATAAAAACTGCAGAACCTGCTACTACCAATAAAGGAGCCAAAGTTGCTCCCAAAGATGCCGAATAAAGGGCCCATACAGCATGCTTGACTGAGATTCCATTTGAAGGGTATGGCAGTGCCTAATTAATTAAAATTTATAAAATAACGAAGCATGTAATAAACGGTCCGAAAAGAGTGTTTGAATGAGTTGTGCATACTCTGCAAGCAAGCTGGGCACCTATAGTACAGACAAGCATTCCGATAGGAAATAACCAGCCCCCAGATAGGGCTATCCGACGAAA